GCGGAAGATATGAGAAAACTCGAGGGCACTTTTAAGGGTATCTCTAGCATGTATCGCCTGATCAATCGCATCGGAGAAGGTCAGTCAGGTCAATTGGAGATATTTGCGTCTACCAAGACGCTCACACATTACCGCAACAACTAACACTTCTCTAAAGGCACGTTTTCTACCGTCTATAAAGCTGAAGACCTTCTATATGATGAATATGAAAATGAATGGGACTGGGAGCGAAAGTCTGATGACCAGGATCATGAGCGAAACAGAAATCTGCAGTCCACCGACAGACACTCGTCTAAATCCCAACGGAAGGCTAAACGTAGGCCTCATTACGTTGCGTTGAAAAAGATCTATGTTACAAGTAGCCCAAGTAGAATCCAAAATGAGCTTGAGCTATTGAACGACCTCTACGGTAGTCGTTCCGTCTGCCCTCTTGTAACTGCATTTCGACACCAAGACCAGGTAGTGGCAGTATTACCATACTTCCCTCATACTGACTTTCGAGTCCAATATCGAACGTTCCTTGTTTCTGACATGAGACACTACTTCCGTTCTCTTTTTACCGCCCTCCATGCAGTTCATAAAGCTGATATCATCCACCGAGATATCAAACCAACGTCAGTTCCTTTATCTCCCAAACATAACGCGCGAGTTCAACCACAGCTAACACGGTTACAGCAACTTTTTATACAACCCAAAACTTCGACGAGGTGTTCTTGTTGATTTCGGCCTCGCAGAGGTAAGCTATATCCATTTTCCACCGCCTTTTCGCTAGCCACAAATTCGTGGATAGAGCTAAAACACACGATCATCAATCAGCGCGAATATCTCGGCGGAGAACTCTGCCACTGCGCCCAGCATTCTACAGCAAGTAAATATCGCGCCATGTGGTTGCAAACAAACATTCGTTCGAATGCCCAGTCCGCAGGATATCCTAAAAATGACTCGCGCCCTTCACGGCGTGCAAACCGTGCGGGAACCAGGGGCTTCCGTGCACCAGAGGTCCTGTTCAAATGCACGTCGCAAACGACAAAGATTGACATCTGGTCGGCTGGAGTCATACTCCTGACCATCCTCGGTCGACGTTTTCCCTTCTTCAATTCTGCAGACGATGTAGATGCCATGATTGAGATTGCAAGCATATTTGGGTCACGCCGCATGAAAGCTGCGGCAGCATTGCATGGACAGGTTTTCGAAACGAACTTACCCACCATTGGCGAGAAGGGGTATTCCTGGGAAAAGATAGTGCTGTGGTCTAGCTGCGTGGCGCAACTCACGGAAAGCGAAAAACAAGCTACTAGTTTTCTTTCTATGCTCCTGGAATTGAATCCTAGCAAACGGCCCACGGCCAAAGAGGCCTTGCGTCATGAATTCTTCACTCATCCGGAGGAGGATGATTTGGCTTGGGAGGACATTGGTGATAAAGAACAGGATGATAAACCAAACCAGGCACAGGGAGCAGAAGAGCAGTGTCAACAGGAGGAGACAGTCGAGCCAGCTGATGAAATGCACCTTGTATGAAATGTTGGTGCACATCTGCATATCTATACTTTTTCAGCACTGGTGTTATGAGCGGCTGCAAAGGGGTGCAAGGGCATGGAGATGGAGGGATTATTGGCTTCTCAGTCTACGCATAAGTGTTTTAATATCCAAGATGATTACATCCATATATTACTAGTGCCTTCTATTCTCTTTGATTCTTTCGTCTGCAAAAGTTAGAATCCAATGGTGGGTTCATGGTTGCTGACGGTTCCAGGTTTTATTCTTTGGGGGGGGGGAAATTCTGTCTGACGTCATAGCTGCACCTTCCTGGAGTGACAGCATAGTCATAACTCAACCAGCAATCAACAACATCACAGCTTCAACAACATTGTAACTTTGCAGCATTATATGCAACAAATATACCCCCCTTACAGAAGCTTCCTGAGAAATAACACACTGGACTCTGAAAAATTGTTCTGCAAAACCTAGAGGTGGTTTTTTATCTTCAGTGTTAACACCCCAGGATAGAGCTCAAACCATAGACAGCCTCTCGAATTTCCCTCAAGTTGTTTCGCCACTACATGCTCCTCGCTCTCTGCGTAGGGTTACTTTCAGTATTC